AAATACCTGATGTGCTGTTCTTCCGACACCTACGCACATCTGAGGACCTTAGTTCATGTACCATCTCTCCCAGGAAGCCATCTCTGACCCCAAAACCTCACAATACCATAAAATAATCACTAATTTCTCCGTCTACCCTCTTAGACCAACCTCAGGATGGGTGAGACTTGAATTCAGGTCACCTAACATAAAACTGCAGCTCTTCCTAGTACCAGACGCCAGAGAATCGCCATCCGCCACTTCATAGCTCTGAAACATTGGACAATTCCTTAATCTTTCTGGGCCTTAGTTTCTTCATCCCTAAAATGAGGGTAATAATAATGCCTCCTCATGGGGCCATCATGAGAATTAAATTAGTTAATCCACATAGAACACTTAGAACACAGTCTGGCACAAAGAGTCCTCAATACTGGTTATTACTGTTGTTGTGAGAAAAACAGATGCCTGGAATAGAACCTAATTTGAGCTTGGCAAATACGACGTCCACAAATGGAGAAGCTAAAATAGCAGAGAAGAAAACATACAAAATGTTCTAAATCTGTCCTATTTCCTTGGTTTTCATATATGAAAACACAGGAGAAAGGGCAACGCAACTGCAGAAGTGTGGCGAATCCCATAGAAAGCAGGAAGGCTACAGGGAAGAACTTTCAAGACAACGACGAACCATATCAACTGTCAACACATTCCACAGCTGACAGCTAAGAGGGTCAAAACTGCAGTTCCCTTGGCTTAGCTTTATAAGCTATAATTTTTATTTTCCTAATTAAAAAAAAAAAAGCCTTTTGAATGTCCACTCCTTATGTAAATTCAGAGCTCGGGCCACGGTAAACCACAGAGGCAGAAATATTTATCTTCTCCAGGCGAGTTTGGCAGGCTTTACTAGAGGGATCTGAAATATGGCTATGTTCATCTTCTCGTTCATTGTCAACAAGTAAGCATCCCCAAACCACAAAAGACAGTGGTAATAAAAGGATGAATTGGAAGCTGAGATGTGTTGCGGTTTTGTTTGGAAGTCGAGGTAATGAATAGAGTCAGAAGTGGTGGGAGGAAACTATCAACTTCACGCTAGACAGTCAGAACAGGCCAGAAACTGCCAGCAGTGTGAATGATAAAGGAAAACTGCACAGAGACCACAAAGGGAGAGAAGGTGGAAGGTGGAGAGGAGGCAGCCTCTCGGGCTGGGGAACAGGTGCTGGGGGCTCAGTGTTCCATGCTGGGGAGAAAGGAGTGGTGTCCCACAGGAAGAAAGGGCATATTAGCTTTGCTCAGTGAATAAAGAGAGGAAGAAACCACCAGCAAAGTCAGTTGGGGCTGACAGAAAATGCAGGCTTGGGATGAATATGGGGCCTGAACCCACTGTAGCTTACATGATATCACCCTTTTCCAATTCAATAAAATGAATAGTATTTTCAGACCTTGAAAGGGACCCTAGGGACTATCTGATCCAGTGGTTCCCAAACTTGGATGCATCCCCCAAAGTCACCTGGAGTGCTCGCTAAAAATGCTGGTGACAAATTCATAGAGACAGAAAGCAGAATAGAGTTCGCCAGGGGCTGTGGGGAGGGATGGGGGGATGGGGAGTTAGTGTTTAATGGGTATAGAGTTTATGTTGGGGATGATGAAAAAATGCTGGAGATGGATGGTGGTGATGGTTACACAACGTCAATGTACTTAATGTCACTGAACTGTATACTTAAAATGGTTAACATGGTAAATTTTATGTTATATATATTTTACCACAATTAAAAAAAGTACCGAGCAGAGCCAAAAGAAAAATAATGCTGGTGACTGGGCTCCACTCCCAGAGTGTCTGACTTGGTGGGCTCCACTCCCAGAAATCTGCATTTTAAATAGCACCACAGCTGCTTCCAAAGGAAATGATTTGAGAACCAAACTTTAAAAAATGGTATTGTGGTTATCAAAGAAAAAAAAAAAATCTTTCTTTTTTTAGAGATACATACTGAAATATTTACGAATGAAATGACCTGCTGCCTGGGTTTGCTTCTATAATGATCCCGTGGGGTGGAGTAAGTGTTGGTGGTATAGATGAAACAAGAGTAGCCCTGAGTTGATAATTGATGCTGTTGGATGACGGACACAGGGGCGTTCATTATACTGTTCTCTTTTCTATAGGTTTGAAATTTTCTATAATAAAACAAAGCTTTTTAAAAAGACTTAACCAGGTGGTGGCCATTCCCAACAGAGAGGAGAGCATGACTAAACGGATGGAGATAAGTAGCAGCTTGTTGTGGGGAAGGAACAACCAACAGTTCAGTGGGTCTGGAGCATCCCATTCAAGGTAAAGCAAGGAAGTCATCAGAGGCGAGGCTGGGAGCCAGGAAGGGTAACACTCTGCTAAGTTTTGTTGGCCTTGTGAACGAGCGTAAATCTTTGGGTGATGGGGAAACATTGGGATAGTCATTGGAAAGAAAGAATCAGATGTGTGCCTTAGCTAGACTACTCTGAGTAGCTGTATAGAGGGTGGATTTGAGGGGATCGAGTGAGGAGCAAATTAGAAGGCTGTTGTAGCTGTCCTGGTAAGCGATTTCAGGACCTGGGCAAGGATAATAGTAGGAATGGAGAGAAGGAACTAGAACTAAGCAAGATATGAGTAGATATAATTGGCATAACTCAGTACTTAATTACAAAAAAAGGAAAGAATAAGAAAGTGGCAAAAATGACTTCAGGCTTCTAGTTCGGATAACTGGACAGCAATCCCTTTCACCAAGAGAGGACATACAGAAGGATTAGCAATTGTTATCCAGTTGTGTTTTGAGAACATAAGATCCTGGTAGGATGCATAATTCTAGACTGGAACTCTATGACCTTCCTTGCATGACAACTACACACTCCCTTGCAGGTATCTCTAATCCCTTTCTTTCTATAGGTTCCTTCCCTTACAGAAACATAAGACATTAGAGCTGGGAGAAGGTTCCAGTAGCATTTAGCCTAACATCCCCCTTGTACAGTTGGGAGGTCTAGAGATATCAGCTGACTTGTCTAAAACCTTTTTATCTTTTTAATATGTTTAAGGCTGTCCTAACTTCAAATAAAAAACAATAAAAATCAAACACATATCACCTCTCTTTTCTATCAACTCGACTACCAATCTTCACTCCTTCTTTATATTCAAATATCCATCCCCCCATTTCCTTCTAATTCAGAATTCATTTCCTAAATCTCTGCAATGTTTACCTCTTTACCCTTTGAATGATACTACTCTAAATTAATTGAAAAAGACTTGCTTGTCAAACAAAACAGCCTTTTCTCAGTCCTCACAGTTTTTCCCTGGCTTTCTATGAGATTTGAATATTATTTGCTGCACCCCACCTTAAAACCTTTTCTCCTTTGGTCTTTATAACAGCAAGCTTTCCTTGGGTCTACTCCTTCCTCTGTTCACTACTTCTACTCCTCCATCATCCACTTCTTCTGATTCCCCTTCTTCCTCTAGATCTCCAAGCTTCTGTCATGAGCCCAATACTCTTCTCGCTTCAGTCAGTTACTCTGGGGTCATTCACCTCACAGAGTCCACAATCTCTTCTAGGTTCATATCCAGGCCTGATAGTAGTCCATGTAGAAAAGTTCTGTGCATGTCCTAAGTGTGATGTGCCAATTCTGTTGGCCTCCATCACTGGAGGCATGGTGCCTTCTCAAAGAGAAGTAATCCACGTTCCCCTGGGAGGGGGATCTCACTGCTGAGCTGGACCACAGTTAAAAGGGATAGTGATAAATGAGAGTGTGTTCTGATAAAAGCAATGAGGTTGGTAAGGAATCTAAAAACAACAACACACGAAAACCGCTGAAAAGGCTGAGAATGATGAGCTTGGGAAAGACAATGCTCTTGGGATCCAGCTTTCTTCAAATTCGTGAAAACTTGCACAGCGGATGGGGCACAGATGTGTTTTTTCTGTTTCAGAAAGAAGAAATTTGAAGAATGTGTATTTTGGCTCAATAGGAGAAAAATCTTGCAAATAACTCAGGTTGTTCAACACAAGCATGAGCTGTCTCTCAATGCAGTGAACTCTGCCTGTTGCTGAAGGTGTTGAAGAAGAAATGTCTCCTCTGAGAGGGAGATTGGCCATACTACCTCTGAGATCCCCTTTCCTCTAACACTCTGCGAATTGCTCTCTTGTTAGATAGCCTGTCAGCATCACAGACTTCACATGTCTGATATGGACTCAGTTGTCTTGGCCAATTACTTGAGTCAATCATTGGTGCTGCTGTTCTTCTAGACTCCTGGACTAGAAATGTCAGAGCATCTTTGATTCCTTACTCTCTTTAGATTCCCATACTTTTGCCTCCAGAATGTATCTTTGATTTGCTCAATTCTTAATTTCCACTGATAGCATTACAATCCAGACTTCCCAAATCACATGTGGATAGAAGTCACTGGATTTTTGAGTTGGAATGGACCTCGGAGAGTTTAAGCCCAATCTGCTCATTTTATAGGTAAGGAGAATGAGACCAGAAAAATTAAAGACTTGTCTAAGGTCACACAATTAAAAGTCATGGTGCTAGGCTCCAAGATTCGTAGCACTATATTCTTTCCATTGCCCCATACCACAGCAGCTCTGGGATTTCTCTTTATAATCACTCAGGCCACCCTGATACATTTCATCTTAATTGGTTTTATAGAGATGGGCCATGAGTTAACCATGGAATGATTGGTTTATTTGTATGATACTAGGATGGTCCTTAGTCAAATCATATGTGTTAATCTAGATCTAGGAATTATCCCCAATCTCTTAATTGTAACAGGCCACTGGGTCTGCTTTGAGTTAAATAACACTGTTCTTTTCTGTGCTTCTCACAGATACTGCCAAAGTAGGACTGAATTGCGAAATAAAGAAGACTTCTAGCCAGCTCAAGCTCTCTAGAGTCTGCAAATCCAGGTCATTTGGATTTGAAAAGTATCACTGTACTCCAACGAGTACAAAAATTACATATATCATGTTAACTGGCTATGCCCTGATTACTCCCATAAAAGGTCCTGGACTCACGTTGGTTCTTCTGTTGCTATTCTGGTCTCTTCTAGTTCTTGTGCTTGTTTCAGCCAAGGTAATTTAGCTTCCACTGGGTTTTTTTCTAAGAAAAAGGGCACATAAACAACAAGCTGAATTATTGTTAATCATTAAGGATTTGTATACATGATTGTTAATTTGCTGAAGATTTCATCAATAAAGAGGTCAGGCTTTTCAAATGCAAGTTGAATCCTCTAGCACAGTACATTAATTGGCTTCTGGATTGAACCAAAAATTTCTGTCATATATTTTTTTATGTAAGAGGTAACCAAACAATCCCATGGCACAGTTGAATACATTCTCCAAGTTAACATAAAAATGCCTTTTGTAAATGAATACCAATCTCTGTTGTTTACATATCAAAGCTCTTACTTCAACCATATCAGCTTGCTTTCTTTTGCCACAAATTCTTTTTGCCCAATGAATGAAGAAATTAACAGAGAAAAGCAAATAACATAAGGGTTAAGAAAATTGGGAGGAGGAGAGTCTGTGCTATGGTTTACTCAAACTTTTATTGTTATTATTATTGTTGTAGTTTTGAAAAAGATGATTAACAATTACAACTGGCATGCGGGAGCAAGCTGGTGCCCCTTTCTGTCTTTTGAAGCCTCCTAAGACATAAAGAAAGAAACAATCTGATTATGAAATGAGAAAGGAAATAATTTTGGACTGCTTCAGAGACATCATAGACAATAAGAAAGTGGCTAATGAAAATACCATCGAGTGCTGAAGGAAGGAGAAAAGACTTCACTGATGAAGTTATATAATCAGTAGTTGTACCTTGCATGGCAACCAGTGATTTTTCCGGAAGATAGATATAGTCAAATAAATATTTGTTGGATGATTAATTATGAGACCATTTGTACAGATAATGAACCCAGAAATAATGAAAGAGAATTTTACCCTCCTCTCTAAAGTACTAAGGAAGACTCCTTGGCACTAACCGTTGGGAATAATCCTTTTTCCATTCCCAGAAAGGAAATCCTTTTTCCATTCCCAGAAAGGAAATAAGGGTTGGTAATACCTTACTAAAGTATATGGAAATAATCATGTATAGAGAGGACCATATATCCGAGAGATGATGCCAAGATTTCCTACCGTGGATGCTATCCATTTCTGCTAATTCATGTGGAACAAATGGGAACCACAAAAGAAATTCTAAATGCATCTATAGATCCAGATTGGGAACTGAAAGACTTCATTCATTCCATGGTAGGCAATAGGACACATAATGAAGAAGTCATAGTTCTGCCCTCAAGAAACTAACATCCCAGTGGAAGGCATGTATAAAGCACCGTGGGAACAAAGAAGGAGAACCTCGGGGGAATTTTTCTGCTTCTCTTTCTCTTCATCCTTCTTCTCCTTTTCCTTCCTTCCTTTTTTCTTTCCCCCCTTATCCTCCTTCTCCCTTTTCTTCAAAGCAGGGACTGCATCAAATTATTTTATGTCCTCCAAGAAATGTTAGTATAAGCCTAGATAGACAGGAGCCCCTTTAATTGTACTCAACAACGAGCTTAGTTTTCTCTCCAGATCAATTAATCACACAGGTCTAACTTCTTCTAGGTGGACAGGTCTATTGTAATCTGTCAGTAAAACAATTTTTGTAAGAAAGTTAGTAAGTTGAAAAGTAAATGCTGCAATATTAGATTGAGAGCTGGAAAACACCACTTGATTTAACTTTAAAATGCACCACAAACTTACCTTTTGGTTTATAACACGGGATGGGAATGATACATTCTTCTTTGATGTGTAACTTGAGTTGTGGATTGCAGCCGCCAACATGCTGTCCACGATGGTTGATACACAGAACAACCCGGTAGCGTAACCCTCGGCCACAAGTCACTGTGCACTTCAAAGAAGAAAAGAGAAGCCAATGAAGTTCTTGTTCATGAAGAGATCCACAAAGGTATTAATGTCTCATACAAAGAAGAGCCACTGCTGTACATGAATCTTAAACCTAAGAGAACATTAGATAAAAATTATGTAAGGAAGGGGGCAGAGGCTGACTTTCTGTGATTCTTATGCTTCAGGTCCCTTCCCTTGAAAGGCCTCCTTCCAACACTCAATTCAAAAAGTATTCAGATGAGGTCACAGCGCAAGACAAACTGAAATGCCTGAAATCTTTCTGCTCAAATATGAAAGAAAGTTGATACCAGTTTTCTTAAATTTGATTAAAAATTTACATGACATTATCCAAAACCATTTGTGAAGATGAAAGAAACTTTTCTAAACTAGCAATGAAAAAAAGTCAAATTTTGATCAACTACGCTAAAGGATTATCTTTCTATTTTGTCTATATAAACTGATCTTGCAAACCTGTTGTCATAGGAAGAGGCCATCAGAGAGTATTCAGCCAAAAAGTTTAGGAAAAAATACTACAGACGTATCAGGCAGTGAAAATTAATAAAAAACATGCCATTTTTTCTGAATTTTTATGAAGTTTGTGGTATCAGTATTTTTTTCTTGAATTATTTATTTATGATTTGGAAGGTACTCTTGCCTATGAATGGAATATTTTCATGTCGTGAAAATTTAGGATATCCTTTCAATTTATGTACGTATGTTGGTGAGTATATATGTGTGTATGTATGTAGTTTTTTTTTTAATCGAGACTTTACATGTTAGGACCATTTTAGGTTCACAGAAAAATTGAGTAGATAGTACAGAGAGTTCCCATATGCCCCCTCTTCCCTGCACACAGTTTCCCCTATTATTAATATCTTGCATTAGTGTGGTACAGTTGTTACAATTGATAAACCCATACTGATACATTATCACTAACTAAAGTCCAGAGTTCACATTAGAGTTTTTGTCAGCTTTTAAAAATTTGTAATTTCTTGCAATTTCTTTTCTTGTTCTAAATAAACATTCACTTAGATATTCAATATTTGTGTTTTGTATTCTTTCTTCCTAAAGAGTCACGTCCAAACTGTGTAAACTTAGGCCCCATCCACCCCGGATCCGCCCTGGGAGGGGCTGACAGTCCTCGGGCATCTGCTACAGAATAGGCACCGTCCTCCACATGTCATCTCACTAATCCTGGCGTACCTGCAAGCTAATAGCTTCATTCCCATTTAACAGATGAGCAAACAAACAGCCCATCACCTGTGACTTTGCCCAAGGTCACACAGTTCCTAAGAGGCAGAGTGGAACTTCATCCCAGAGCCTCCTGTTGCCAAAACCACGACTTCGCCACAGCTTCCTAAGCTTGAGCATTCTTTCCTGAGTCAGTGGATGCCTTCTGAATCGTCACAGACAAGTCTCAGAGGACATGGAGGCCTTTTTCAGCACACACACGTCTCCAGGAACAGCAGAATATTTCAGGAAACTTCTCTTATTTCATCATGCCACTCATGACCACTGAACAAATACTGTCATGAATTGAGTGAGGTTTGAGACTAGACCCTATTTCTAGGAAACTGACTACCCCCACATTTATCAATTTGAAATACATATGATCCTGAGAGGCTGTTTTATATTGGCCGAAAAAGAAAAAATAATTGCCCAAAGAGAAAGAAAACAATATGGTTATAAGGTACAAATATCCTAGAACTGGTCAATCAAAGGAGTATTGTCTCCTAAGTAGCCCCTCTGGGAAGCTGGACACTCACCCCAATGATGCTCAGTGTTCACAACATTTCCAGAACATATCCTTAATGATAGCAAATTCTCATCACTGAGAATGTATTTGATTTTTTCTAAAAATGAAAAGTATGAAGAGCCAAGAAAGGTAAATGAAATGAGTCAGTTAACAATCCTTTGTCTTGATATTATAAGTGATGATAAAGTCATGATATTGATGGGTATGGGGTGGTGGTACAAGAGCTCTAAAGCCGACATAAAACATATGGATAAGATTTATAAGAGCTGAAAACAAGCTGCAGATGTAGAAGTAATGTTGATTTTTGATGATAGATCATGATGTGATTTTTGACACACAACTCAGGAGTTCAAAGAACTGAATGACCTTGCTATAGTAAAATCTTCCATCTCAGTCTGCTTATTTCTGTGAACAAGCTTCCCCAGGGTGTACGTGCCAAACAAAACAATCAAGACATCAATAGTAAAAATTAAGAATAAAATTATTGCTGACCCATGTCTCATTCTGGCAATGGACTATTTTTCTCAGCCCCACTCATCTTCTAGAAAGACTGATTTCAAATGAAAATTTACTTTTTATGTGTAACAATTATTCACCAAAAATTGAAATATATTTATATTGTTTTGATTGTATACTAAAATTAAATTTAATAATAACTTAATTCAGGGGAACATTTCTAATACTTAAAGCCTTATGGCTACAGGCAATTAATATAAATTAATTTCAATTACTATACATATTTTCTCAGAGAAAAGTAGAATAGTGTAACCAACAAAAGACTTTAAAGCATAAAAGTACATGACATTAAGATAAAATTTCTGTTGGGACAGGGGATTGAAAATGTGAGTTCAAGGGGAAAAAAATGCAAAATATCCAAACTGTTCAAGAAGAGCTTGTTCTATGTTTTTCTTAAATGAAAGATGGCAAGGATAGAAATCATCACGGCATTTACACTTTCCTGGACATAGTTTTAAAAATGCTTTTATTTTAAAATGTCAGCAGGGGCTGGCCCGGTGGGGTAGCGGTTAAGTTCATGCACTCCACTTTCACAGCCTGGGGTTGGCGGGTTTGGATCCCAGTGGAGACCTACGCACTGCTTATCAAGCCATGCTGTGGTGGGGTCCCATATAAAGTAGAGGAAGATGGGCACGGATGTTAGCCCAGGGCCAATCTTCCTCAAAAAAAGAAAAAAGTCAGCATTCACAACATGTTGGAAATGACATTCTTTGATATTTTTTATTTAAACTTGTGATAAAAAATTTTAGATGTCAACCTAAATATGTGTGAAGGGGTATGTAATTTTCCAAACTTCTTTCAGGGGGTATGTGAACAAAAAAGCATCTATAACCACTGCCCTAACAAGTACAAACGAAGCTGTGGAGGGTAATGATGTCGAGCCCTGGACACAGGAGAAAGGACTCAGGTGGTGGTGGTGTCCGAAAACCGGGGCTGGAAGTGGGTCTTCCTCACTTGGCAAACTCACTTATCATCATTCTTCAAGTTTCAGTTCAAGTGCTACCTCCTTGCTGAAGCCTTCTCTGATACCTGCAAGGTGGAGCGAATCACCCTGCCTCTGCACACCTGCAGTACAGACGCGTGACACCCCTCACCACAGTACTACCCTGCATCCCAACCGTTGTTTGCATGCTTGTTTCTGTAACTGGGTTCTGAGCTTTTTGGGGGTAGGAGCAAGTTTTATTTACTTCCTCAGATGGTACTGACACCCTGAATGAATAAATAGATGAATAAATAGATGAATGCAAGTATATGTTGAAATAAATATATAGAGATCACTCAAAAGAGGTAGAGAAACTCGAGTCAATTATGTCTCACTCTCTGGAAAATTAAAAGATTAAGATTAAAATATTAAATATGAACGTCTGCATTTTCATATTTGACTAATTCAACTGCACTGTATTCCTTCTGGAGGTTTACTTGGTCATCCCCCTAGAAAGTGGAAACGAAGCTAACCCGCCACGAAGTCTTGTCACATCTCTGGGATGTCTCCCTTCTCTTTTCTCTTTTCCCACCACTTGACACCTCAGTGATTTCCAACAGGCTGCCTGCCTCTGGTCTTGCCCAGCGTTAGTCTATCTTGCCTCAATTACTTAAAATACAATGTATTATCTTCTTCAACAAAAGTTGTGAAGCTTCTTAGTAACTACTAGATAAAGAACATACTTCTCCTGTCAGTTTTAGCATTTCCATCTTAATCTTCTACTTCTTAGTAACCTGCGTTCTCTCTTCAATCTAGAGGAATTAGGGTCTTTTTCAAACTCTAGTTAGTCATTCCATGTCATTTCTGCCTTTGCTCAGCCACCTCAGCCGGGCCATAACCCATAGTGAGGTCTTCTCTAGGCTCTTGCTTGTCTAAATTCTACATATCTTCAAAGAGGGGTTAAGCACTACAAAGGCACAAAGACGTTCTGATTGACTCTGCTCCAATATCTGTTCCCTCCAGATGTACCATGGTCCCTAATTCATTCTTCTTCCCTATATTGATGACTGTGGTCTCTCTCACATTGTCCTTCAACCATCTTCCCAAGCTCTTTGGGAGTAGGGACCGTGTTATGCAACTTTTGCATCCCTCACGCTGCCCAGTACAGTGTTGGGCACATAGCAAATAATCATTAAAATCTGAGATTTAATTAAAGGTGGCATCAAAGCTCTCAAATCTTACCTGAGACCACTCCATGGCGACCCACTTCGGGCAATCAAATAGATTGCAGGTTTGCATGACCTTGGGCTTGGGCGCGTACATGCACTTCCACTCTTCCACCTGCAGTGTCTCTCCATGCATGGACTCCTCCACACACACGAAGCTCCGCCTCTGAATCCCGCCTCCACAGGACACAGAACACGCGGTCCAAGGATTATGTTCCCAGCTCAAAAGCAAACAAAGAAAAACACATTATTTAATTTGTTGCTTGTTTCAAGTTTGCAAAGATGGTTGCAAAAAGCATGGTCTCAGGATACCAGTTGTGGTTTGGTTGAAAGAGCACGGGACTTGGACTCTTAAGACTTTAATCTTAACTGCTACACACAATCTGGAGTCACCAAGTACTTAACTCCTTTGACCCTAAGGTTATTGTCAAGTGGAAATAATACACTTTCCCTGGTTACCCTTCATAGGGCCATTGTGAGAATCAAATAATTAAAATACAGACTGTGAAAGCATCTTTAAACTGTCTCTACACTATAAAATACTAATGGACAATATAACTAGAGAATCATAGAAATTCCAAGTCAGAAAGGACCATACTAGTCATCCAGGTATAAAAGGGGATTCAAATTTCTAATAAATCGCAATGTTTGAGCTCCCTCTATAACACCCAGTTATCCAAGACATGCTTGCCATCTCCAGTGACGGGAAACATCACCTTTTGAGGCAGCCTATTCCACCTAATTCTTAGAAAGACCTTCCTTATTACTGAGTTGAAGTTTGTTTTCCCTTAGCTCTCCGTAAAATATCTAATAGCTATTCTTCTTACATTTTAGACTATTGCTACAGATACTGCAGCTCTTTGCAAACTACTTAGAGTAAATTACAAAACAGAAAAGGGAACGTGTAACTCACCGAGGGAGAGGTTGAAAGTGGTCATAGGGCATGATCTCCTTAAATCCATCACTACAAATGAAATCATTGTGAGAATATCATTTCTAAATCAATTAACACATTTACTAATTTGACTAATATAGATTTGACATCTTGAAAGACAGAGGTCTTTCGAACTGAAAACTAAATATGCAAAGTGTTATTACGTATTCCCCAAAATTCAGCCATCATCTCCTTAATTTTCAGGAACACCTCTGACACATATCTTCCCCAGTTCTACATGAAAATGCAGAAAATGGAACTAGGGCTATGTATTAATTAAAGGAAAGAGTCTCTTTTAATTAAGATAAATCTATTTATTCTTTTTTATCATCTAAAGAGGTTATCTGATAAAATATATTAAGGATATTAACACACTGTCATATTAGTAGGATCTTCAGAAAACCATTTTATTTCACAGAATTTGTCCTTTGAAAAGGTCTCTATAAATATGTTCACCTGGGATTACAGGAAATGCACAGCTTAGGGACAGGAAATGAGATCCACTGAGAGCGCTTCCTTTCCCACTTGTACACTTCTGCCTTAGCCAGCTGGCAGATATCTGGGGGCTTTTGGGACTTGATATCGTGCTGCTATTTTAAGATACTGTAGTAAAGCTAGGAAACTTCCCCAGGCAATCCAAGTCGGCAGGTACTAAATTATGCAGCAGGATATGCATAGCTTTTCTGCTTTGGCATTAAAACTTTTTACTTCCTTACACAATACATTATTTATACTGAATTTAATGTGAACATTTCAAAAGTCAGAACATGGTAATGGTGACCCAGTTTAAAGCTAAAAAGGTGAGTGAAAGATATTTTTGACTAGCAGATGGACTAGACACTACTTGGATGAAGAGATCTTTCATACTATACATGCAGGAGATGCTCAGAGGTTCATTATAAAGAGTGAAATATCACAGCACATGGACACATAGCCCACAAGAGAGAGCTAGACTGAGTGAGCTGATGGGCCTAATTCCTATTGACCACGGTTATGAATGTGAGTGCAGGCACATGCCACCAGTGTATGCTCAAAGGCAGGCAATGGAACTATGTCACCCTGTGAGGATTGATCAGTCTCAGCCGCAGTTGATTTGTCTCTTTTTAAAGGAAAAAGAGTATGGGCAATTATGCGAACCTTGATGGGCAAGGATCCATGCTGCATTCCTTCAGTTTGGGTTTTGGTTTGACATTTTCAGGGTAGTAATGGCAATAATGGTCAGGCACCACCCTCTTCAAGCGGATATCCACACATTCAGCAGAATTGAGCTGATAACCTAAAGCAGCAGAAAAGGAAAGTCTGAATATTGCATCCGTTTCGTTTTCACATGGCAAAGTTATCACTTGCCACACACTTCTTTTTCCCCTTTAAGAAACTTAACTCAGTGGTTCTCAACTCTGGCTGTATAACAGAACCATCTGGGAGCTTTTAATACACACCAATGTCCAGGTCGCTTCACGGTCCAATTAAGTCAGAAACACTGTGGCTAGGTCTAGGAAATCAGTATTTTTTTTTACTAAGTCATAGAAATCAGTATTTTTTTTTACTAAGTCATAGAAATCAGTATTTTTTTTTAAAAAAAAAGATTCTCAGGTTCTAAGATAACTAAAATGTGTGAGCAAGGTTGAGAACTACTTGAATGGATTGTGGTAGTTCTAGCGCTTATAACTAAAAAGTTACAATAGACTCCTTTAAAAAGTGTTTGGACCTTGGGTGCAGAAGGTGAGTTATTCATCGTCACTTCTTCTCACTGTCATCATGGCACTGCACAAGGCCCTTTGCTTGTCTCTCTGTATTTCTTCTCTTCCCTGTCACCACTCCCACTCCAATTCCCCAAGAGCCACCCATTTATTGTGTATATGTCCTTAAATATACATCTGTCTTAGGTAATGTTGTTTTGTATCTGTTTTAACTAAATAAACAATACTGTGTTTAAAATCTGTTTTCGACTTTTCTCATTCAACATTACACTTTTGAGAGCTATCCTGTGTGGGTTGTTGCTTCTTTCTACTGCATAATATGCCACTGCTTGCATATGCCACATGTTACTCTTTTGCTGTCTTGGGGTACCTGGGGTACCTCTGATGACATTAAACTTTCTAACCAGGGAATTAAGCATTGTCTACACAGGGAGGAACAAAATCTTTCCCCCTACATCTCCCCTTGCCTCACAAGCCTTCAAAGGAAAAGGAATGAAGACTTATTCTTGATTCTATTAACTTCGATTTGTATAGTCTCTGAGGAAAGTGAACATTCTGAACGGATGAGTGCTGTAAATTTAAAACACAACTCACAAAATGATGCTTCCATTTCCTGAAAGATCTGATTCCAGGTTTCCTGTCACTACATAAATGTCACATTAAGTTTAAAAAAAAAAAGATAATATTTCAAAACCAGAATAAGCTCTTCAGGGGAAAAAAAACCCCTCAGTTAGGATCTCAGCCTCAGCCAATGGGTCTAAAAGTCTAAAAATACATTTAAAGCCCTGATGGCTGAGAGGAATCCGATTTTATAAACCACTAGACAGCTTCCTACAAGTCATGGGTTGGACGTACGCTGAGTGTAGAAGGACAGATTGGTATGCATTATAAAAATCAAGGTCAAAACCACAAGAACGAAAATCCAAATGGAATCAATAAAATGTTACTTGGGTGCCAGTATCTACCAGAAAGTCTACAATATCAGATGGCAGTGGCGATCTTGGTACTTTCTTCAGAATAATCTTAAGTGTCCCACATAGATGATTATAGACAAAACCAGGAAAGCCCATCAAAGTATCTTAGAGACCAATGAACTAATTTTCCTGATTATCCAAAAAACTCTGATATGCCATTTACACAAATCATGTAGATTTGATTACTAATATAATTAAATTTTGGTAATGCTTTCCGTGTGGGTTTTATGTGTGTGTTTTTATTTACCCCAAAACAAGAACAGAATTTGCTTACAGCTCCTTGAATCAAAAAAAAAAAAAAGTATATTTTGTTATAAATGGAAACATACTTCTAAAAGGAGACAGGGAGCATACAGTTGTTTATAATTTGGGGAGAGGCAATTAATTTTCCTCTTTAATTTTACGGCAGTACAGAGATAACTAAAAGGGAAAGAAATAAGGCAGATTGCCTTCCTATATTATGAACAAACGTATGGAAATTCTGCCAGTGTGCAGAAAATGGCAAGCTGCAGGGAGACCCCAAAAGTAGCCTAAACTTTCCCTTCTGTTTTTACAACCACTGTTATTTTTGGCAGACGATCTGACTGCTGGGTGCTCCCATGCCACTCAGTTCCAGCAGGACTGAGTGCGTCTTTCCTGAGGCACCCAAATATTAGAAACATCTATTCTCCTCCCAAGGATTTAACCAACTGAACTAAGCTGAATCCCATGCTAACTGTCCCTCCCAGAGTGGGAAGCTTCTCTTTTATTTTACGTGTCCAAATGGAAACGCCTCTCTGAATATTTGTGTATGAGAGCTAGGGAATAAATTAAAAAGAAAGAGAGGTTTGTTTTTCCGCTGAGTAAGAATAAAAAGCCCCACCATCTCTTTGCTTTTATTTTGGGGTCCATGAGAGACTCTTCTCTTCCCTGGAGCCATGGCCCCGCTGACTTTAAGGTGGTGGGATTCTGCATCCAGATATCAGATATACATGTAAGGATGAATAGGTATGTCCCACTCACTCTGAGAGCTTTCCACCGTGACCACTGAGTGATGTATGTATCGCATAACTCATCGCCTGAGAATGCCGGGGGGGGGGATGGCCAAAGATTATGCAGAGGCATTTTTGAAAATTCAGGTTTAGATTCTGACATAACAGATATTTCCTGAGTGCCCACTAATTGCCAGGCATCATACTGTGCTCCTTGCCATATATCATCTCATTTTGTCCCCCAACAATGCTACAAGGAGGATCATCCTATTTTACACATGAGAAGACTGAGGCTCACAGATGTCTCAGAGCTAATTAGTGGCAAAGCCAAGAAGTGAATCCAGACCTCAAACTCCAACTCTAATGCTTATTCCACTGTGCTATACTAATTCTTGATGTAAATTTTGGCATGCAATGTTTTTTTTTTTTTTTGGTGAGGAAGATTGTTGCTGAGCTAACATCTGTACCAATCTTCTTCTAGTTTGTATGTGGGACGCTGCCACAGCATAGCTTGATGAGCAGTGTGTAGGTCCGCACCTGGGATCCGAACCCGAGACCCCTGGGCCGTGTGAACTTAACCGCTACACCACCAGGCCAGCCCCTGGCATGCAATTTTTAAAGAACAGGATTGGCCAAAAAGTTTATCGGGCCCAGGTTTAGAGAGATTCATTGGGTTTACCCAACTCACGGTCTCAATTCCAAACAGTGTTTTATCTCAATCAGCTTTACAAGAGGTCAAATGTTTTTTTGTTTTTTGGGGTTTTTTTGTGAGGAAGATTAACCCTGAGCTAACATCTGTTGCCAATCCTCCTCTTTTTTTTGCTTGAGGAAGATTAGCCCTGAGCTAACATCTGTGCCAATCTTCCTCTATTTTGTATGTGGGATGCTGCCACAGCATGGCTTGATGAGTGGAGTAGGCCCACGCCCGGGAGGCAAACCCGTGAACTCGGGCCACGGAAGTGGAGCACGTGAACTTAACCACTCAGCCACAGGGCCGGCCCTGAGAGGTCAAATGTTTTTAAGAATTTCCCTTAGAGCCTCCTGGAAAGTCAGTGACTCAAAGACCTAAAGGAGTTTTTCCTCAGAACAATGCTTCTAATGGTCAATAAAATACCATTAAAATACCATTTTCATTTTTTAGAGGAATTGAGAATAAACTGAGAGAATGTGAGAGCTGGCAAGGACTTGAAGATTATCTACCCCACTGTTTTGTTTTCATTGTATTTATTTTTGTGATTGTGTTCTATTTACAGCAAGAGATAATAGTTTCCCACTTAAGGTAGTAATATTAAATTCTTTTTGTAAATATGTATATTTAAATATTTTAAAAAGGTCCATTAAAAAAAAAAACCTTAAGCAAATGATAGTGCAGGGGTAACAGGGCAAAAATAGTGACGTTAATATGGCTACAGCTGATCTCCAAAGACATCGCCCTACAGGACAGTGGTTCTTAAACTCGAGTGCATCACAATCTCCTGGGGGGCCTGTGAGACGGATCGCTGAGCCCCACTCCCAGAGTTTCTGATTCAGTAGGTCCAGGGTGTGGCCCAAGAATTTTCACTTCTAACAAGTTCCCAGGACATGCTGATGCTGCTGGTGCAGGGGCCCCACTTTAAGAACCGCTGCTATAGGATCATCATCAAGTGGTCTATTGCACATGCCTGGCCTAAGAAGAACTTAATTAAAAACTGGGAAGATTCACTTTTAACTTTCTTTTTAGGGCCACATTCAACCCTCAGATTGTTTCTCTTCCATTCCACAAGCTCTTCTGGGGCCTGAGCTGCGCAGAGCTGCCTCCTGGTTTCATAGGGAGTCTGAAGCCCAGCAGAGAGAGACCTGACCTGCATATTCACGGGAACCTGACATTGGCTGAGGAGCCCTCCTTGATACACCTGTGGTTTAAAGGCAAGAGGCCAGAACCCCAGCTCAGTTTCTAGCTCTGGGGTAAGTTGATCTTCTCTAGCCCTCGAGGGAGGAAGTGGTTTGGGGCTGGGCTGAGTTGGGCTAGGCTGAAGAAGGAGGATTTCTTCTAGTTCTTCAAAGAGAACCACACCTGAGCCTGTGCACCCTGATCTAGTCTCAGGTGTGGTAGATTGTTCAGGGGAGACACGGGGCAAAGTCATTTAGAGCACGGCTCTGGCATCAGACAGACCTGGAGCCAGATCCCAGCTGTGCTGTTTACTAGCTGAGCAACCTTGAGTACATTCTTTATCTTTTTAAGCTTCAGTTTGCTCACATATGAAACAGTCATGAAAATAGACCTTTCTTGGGGTTGTTTGGAAGAATACATGTGACGATGAGTACCCCAGCACATGGCTTGACACGTGACAGATGCCCAGTACTGCTGCCTGGTACTCTTAGGGGAAGCATCAGCATAGCCCCTCTAGCAATTCCAGTAACTAGTTCCTGGGTTCTCACTAGTTTAGAACCATTTACTCTTTGATTTAAAGGTTCAGTTCAGAAAAAGAGAATATCTTCACGTGGCTCTGATCACCCCCTCGTCTGCTCCAAGGAGGCACTGTTTCTCCATGCTAAATAAACGATTACCCTCCACATAAGCCTGCGACGACGTGTAGCATGTGTGTGGAACCCTGGATTACACTCGGCCCAGAACCTCCCTCAACTGTCTATAAACACCTTGAACCAAACAAACAGTAAGCAGGACTTTCCCCTTACCACTTAGTAAAGACCCTTTCTCTTTTTACTAAGTTTATACCCTGGGCCCTGAGTATAGGTGGAATATAGGGTGGAAATCTAAGTGTTAGAACCAACATCCATTAGCCTGATCAGACTGGGCAAATCACTTGGTCTCTCTATTTCTCAGGTTTTCCAAAGAAAATTAAAAATAATACATGCTTTAAGGACGATCAAGAAGAGAAATGCAAGAATGCGTGCAAATGTGTTTCCAGCTTTTTGCCAAAAGTAGAGCGCTTTCCAAATCCAGCTTTTCCCCTATTTTAAAGACGAAAGACAAACGCACATTGATTAACAGCGCTGCCTTCCAGGCTGCTAAGATGCTGTGCGATTACACATCTCCAATTACCACACCAATTTTAAAGTCAGCTTCAAAAATGAAAACATGTAATTTCTAACTCTGAGCTCTAAATATTCATGAACAAAGCCTGTGCCTCACCTCCTCCACACGTCACAGTGCATGGAAAGAAGTCAGTTTGTCTCCACTGATGACTGACCGGCTGGTAAAAGAAGAACTGGACCACGCTGTCCTTGGCCACAGGGTACCTGGTCTGGACAGAGAAAACTGTGATAACGTATTTGCATACAATGAGCTGGTACTTTCCACACCTTTCAAAATGAGGTGAATATACTTCACCTATGTAGACACCCACAGATCTATCACAACGGACTATGGTCCATTAAGATTCCAAGACTTTTAAGATGTGATAACATTTCAATTAGATTTGTCATAAATGGGGGCTCAGAAGATCTTTAACCAATCCCCTTAGAGTCATTTTTCCAGATAATTCCATACATGTGAATGAGTTCACAAAAATGTAGGTGACTTTTTTGTTTATTTGTTTAACATTTTTTTTCTTCCTGATGCATTTGATTTCCATTTCCACGAGAGCAGGGACTGAGACTTAATCTGTGTTTGCTTACAACATGGCACATAATTGGGATTCTTACATTTTTAATAGCAACATCTTGAAGCATCTTTACGGAGATCCTTCTAAAAAATCCTTCTGAAAGCACAACCACAGAAACACCAATGTGCACAAATACATGGTGTTTGCATCTGAGCATTCCAGTCCCTAACTGAAAGGGAGAAGGGGTCCTGCTGAGAGTGAGCAAGCAATTACAGAGGTAAGTTCACTTTCAGGAGACTGTACTCAAGTTCTCTCCGTACTTTTTTCTTTTCTTCCCTACTGATTGAACAAATGAGTGAACCAAGGAAAAGTCTCAGAATGCAACACAAAGAGGAAAAAAGAGGGAAAAAAGAAGTTAAGCTCATGGAAGATGGATCCAGAAATGCCAGCATCCTATAGGGTTCAAGATGGAGACAGAAAGAGAATAACGAAGAGGCAATATTTGATTATATAATTGCTGAGAATTTCCTAACCTTAAGAAAGACAGGAGTACTCAGTTTAAAAATATTCCTCAAGTTCTGAGCAGACATTTAAAGAAATAAAACAAGGATAAATTAAAACCCTGTAAGTTATAAGAAAGAAAAAAAATGATTACCTACAAAGGAGTGAGAATCAGATTTCTCACAGGCAATATTAGATGCAAGAAAACAAAATCATTACCTTCAAAGTGATGAGGGACAACAATGTCTGTATCTAGAATTCTATAACCAAATTATTCATCACTAGTCAATTATCAATTGTCATTTTATAAACAATCTATGATTAAATTATCAATCAGTAATGAGTGAAATAAAGATATTCTCAGACCACAAAAATGACTGAAACTTTACCACTCAGAGACCCTCACTAGAAAAAAGAAAGAAAAAATTACCAAAAGATATACTGAACAAGAACTAATATAAATGCAGAAGAAAGTAACAAGATGCAAGAAGCATAACAATGAAATAAATCAGTAAAGCTCACTAGTAAATCTAAATAAGAGTTGACTGAAAAATAATAGCTTGATATATTTAATTGTAAAATGGTATAAAAATTCCAGACATGAGATGTGTGGGGAGGGAGGGAGGGCAGGGTTATGGTGATGGGTGAGGATAGCACAGTGGTTACAGAGGCAGAAAACACTTCTAAGGAGTTTTGCTTCTGGCCATGGCAGAATGGCTTGTTTCTCATGAACCCTCCTGGGGAGAATAAGGAAAGATTCTGCATAAAATATTTTTAAAAATATATTTGAAGGCATCAGAAAACTACTATATTAGTGAGGATTTGAGGGCCGAGATTCCAGACACAAAAAAAGCCCAGAAAGGTGAGGACAACATCCGGCACCACCTTTCTGCTCAAGGCATTTTCCATTTTGCAAGTGGTGACTGAGCAGCTGAGAAGCTGAGCAGACCTGTCATCAGACTCACGTGGCTGAGGGAGTACAGACTGGAGTTCCAGGCCTGCCAAGGTGAGGAGCGTTGGTAAACACCCCAGGCTCCCAGCTGGGACCCCGGAAAGCTCCATCCTAGGAATAACAGTGACCTGGATATAGACCAGTTTTCAAAGGTAATGAAGCTGGGTTCAAATATTTCAAATCCGTGTTGGATGAAGGATACTGGCTGCTAACCTGTCTTCCAGAAGCAAAAATTAATCCAGTCTCAAATTATACCTATAATCTTTCATCTGCTATATACAGCAAAACTTAAAAATAACTAGGTATACAAAAAAGATAAAATATAACAACCACCAAAAAAGTGGAAAAATAGACATTATAAACAGAATTACAGGAAACCTAGATACGGGCATTAACTGACAGAAACTTAAAAACTTAAGCATATTGCTACCACTCCCTGCAACTCAGACCTTGGCTTCACATCTTGTTTCCCTGCTTGAGGGGCCTAGCAACACCTCATTCTATTCCCATGGTCATAAAACATCAGTGTTAGCACATGGCTTTTGCCTCAGGCTCTGTTTTTTAGAGAACCTAGACTGAGATACTATGGCTAAAATGTTCAAAAAATTAAATAACAAGATGGAGAATTTCACTAGAAACAAAGAAACTATATTAAAAATAAAATGTAATTCTAAAAATAAAAAGCACAATAATTTAAATCAGTATTTCAATGGATAGACTTAACAGTAGATTAGACTGGGGTTCAGCAAACTATTTTCTTAAAGAACCAGATAGTAAACGTTATAGTTTTCAGGCCTTATTGTCTCAGTTGTAATTATCCAACTCTGCTAGTGTAGCGCAAAAGCAACCACAGACAATACATAAACAAATGGGGCTAGCTGTATTCCAGTAAAACTCCATTTACAGGCACACCTCAGAGATATTGCAGGTTTGGTTCCAGACCACCACAACAAAGCAAACATTGCAACAAAGTGAGTCACAAAAGTTTTTTGGTTTACCAGTGTATATAAAAGTTATATTTATACTATACCGTAGTCTATTAAGTGTGCAATTGCATTATGTCTAAAAACAAGGTACATATCTTAATTAAAAAATACTTTATTGCTAAAAAATGCCAACCATCATCTGAGCCATCAACAAGTTATAATCTTTTTGCTGGTGGAGGGTCTTGTAAAAAACACAATATCTGCAAAGCACAATAAAGCAAAGTGCAATAAAATGAGGTACACCTGTACAAAAACAGGTGGTCAGCTTGCTGGCCATAATCTGCTGACTCCTGGATTACACACACCTGAACAGAGAATTAGTAAACTGACAGATAAAAAGAAAGTGGAAATTAGACATGTGGGATAAAGGTATAACTATAGTCCCAGAAAAAGAGAATACAGAGAATGGGATAGAAGCTGTATCTGGAGAGGTAATAAATGAGAATCTTCCAAAACTGATGACAGATTTCAAGCCACAGATTCATGAAGCACCATGGACCTCAAGCAAAAGAAAGCCACTAATTACGTCATAGTCAAATTGATGAAAACCAAAAACAAAAAGAAAACACTTAAAAGCAGACAAAGAAAAAAGACACATTACCTTCAAAGGAAGAAAAATAAGACTGACAGCTGACTTCTCAACAAAATAAACAGAAGCCAGAAGACAATGGAGAAATATCTTCAAAGCACTGAAAGGAAATAGTTTCATAATGATAAAAAGGCCAGGTCACTAGAAGAGGTCACGATTCAAAATGTGAATGTACCTAACAACCTAGCCTCAAAATATGTAATTCAAAAATTGACTAGAATAGGAAAAAATTAGACAAATGCATAGTCGTAGTGGTAGTTTTACCATATCTCTTATGGTAACTAATAGAATAAGCAGACAAAAATCAGTAAGACTATAATCTAGAATAAAACCATTAATAAACACGACCTAACTGATATACATAGAACACTGTGTCCAAGGACAGGAAACTATACATCATACTCTTCCAAAATTTGCTATTCTGAGCCACAAATTAAGTTTTAACAAATTTCAAAACACTGAAATAAATAGAGTATATTCTTTGACTACAGTAGAATTAACTATAAAATAATAATGAGATAACTGGAATATTCCTGCATACCTGGATGTTACACTTCTAAGTATTCCATAAGTCACAGAAGATACCACTATGAAAATTACAATACATTTTAACTGAATGATGAAGGAAAAGATTTCATATCAAAATTTGTGGAATGAAATAAAAGCCATGCTTTGAGAGAAATTTAAATGACTTAAATGCATATGTTATGAAAAAAAGAATAAAAATCAATGATCTAAACATCCATTTCAAAAAATGAGAAAAAGAATAGCATACTGAATCCAGAGAAAGTAGAAGGATGGAAAAATAAAGATAAGAGCAGACATTAATGATATGGAAAGGGAACTACATTAAAGTGGGTTCTAAAGCCAAAACGTGTTTCTGTGAAAAGTCTAATAAAATTGATAGCCCTCCAACATGACTGATCAAGGAAAAAGAGAGTAGGACAAATAATCAATATCAAGAATGAGAAAGAGGACTATAGATCCTCTGCACAATGAAGAAATAATAAGAGGATACTATGAAAAAAATCTATGCCAACAACTTTTAAAAAGTTAGTTGAAATAGACAAATTCCTTGAAACAAAACTGATATAAAAAATAAAATACCTGAATAGCTCTGTATCTTTTAAAAACATTGAATGCATAATCCTAAAAACTTCCTGCTGAATATTTCCAAATATTTAAAGAAGAAATAACACCAATCTTACACAAACAATTGCAGAGAATAAGAACAGAAATACTTCTCAACTTGTTTTATAAAGTCAGTATAAAATTAATACCAAGACCAAACACATTACAAGAAAAAAAAAAAAAAGAAAATAAAGAACAACCTTTCCTGGAAATAGATACCAAAAAAAAAATCATAAATAAAATAATTTAAAATCATATCCAGTGATACATAAAAGGATAATCCTTTTAATTAATAATAAAATAATAAATACTAACAAGTAAATACTACTAATAAATTCTAATAAAAAAGGATAATGATCAAGTGAAATTTATTACAGGAAGGTAAGATTGGTTTAACATTTGAAAATCAATGTAATTCACTAAATTAAAGGGAAAAATGGAAAAAAAATATGATCACTTCAAAAGATGCAGAAAAAGCATTTGATAAAATCCCACACATATATGATAATGGAGAAAAGTAGAAAAAGATTTCTTTCACCAG